TATGTTAATATTTCTTCCTTTAGCAACATAATCTGCATAGCAATGAAAAGAAATCGCCTCTAATCTCATTTTTCTATGGTTCATATGATAGTCTTTTCTTATTGTCAACTTTCTAATAAGAATATAAGCCCAATGAATATGTTGTTGTGCTCTAAAAAAAAGTTTAAAAAAAAACCCAAACTTTAAGATTCTACTCAATTTTCTCAGCCACTCATTATTTTTTTTTTTAGTGAGATTAGTTAAGCAATAAACAGCCAAATATGTCCCATTTATTCCCACTGGTAGAGTGATATGCCTTTTATTAGCCTGACTGAGGATGCTAACGGTAAACATGCTACTCTGTCTTTAGGACACAGCTACTACTCTCCACAGCACCTCTAGAAGAAAGAGGACTTATGATAAAAATGAAGCCTGCCTTCTGAATTCCCAAGAACTACACTGTGACTCTGATGAGATTAAAAATGTTACTTATCTTAAAAACCCAAGCTGCTTTGTAATAAAAAGAGTCTGGTTGAAGTACCTAGGTCAGTATCTTAGATCATGGACCATTTTCAGCAACCAATCAAATGTGATTTACCGGTACAGAAGCTCACGGACACCCGAAAGGCACTTTGATGAGCTTGAAATAAGGGAAGTGTTTTGTGCCAGTACCTAAATGTACGTGTCATACCAGCCCAAACAATAGCTCTTTGCAAAATCAATTAGCATGGTAATTACTCAAATGAAATCAGAAAATTTTAAATTTCCTATAAAAGTACTGATCTATGAAACATTAGAATAAAAGGCACAATACCAGATTCTGTCCAACTGAAACATACTAAGTATTATTATAATTACTAGAGTTTCCTCTTATGCTTAAAGGTTGCTTTACTTATGTGGTATTTGCTAAAACTGACTAAATTAAAATTATGTAAATATATTTCTGGCTTAATTCTTCCAAGGAATCTGTCACTGGATATAAATAACACACAATGGGATGAACTAAGTATTATATAATTTATATTATCATTTCTCTTCCCCACAGTGTTTTCAGTAGGGAATTTAAGGCATAATTGTTATCTATGAAAGCAAGAGTGGAAAACATAATATACATTCCAACTGCACTGTTGCTATCAATTGTCAATTCAAAACATGCAAAACTTAAGCGTGACAGGTGGATAATTATCCAGGCTCTGTAGACACAACACAAACCAACACGAAGTCAAAACTCAAGCACATGCAAAACTTAAGCGTGACAGGTGGATAATTATCCAGGCTCTGTAGATACAACACAAACCAACACGAAGTCCCTGTGATAAGATGAACGAGTAAGTGACACTAAAAACTCTTAGACCTAAATTGAGAAATGATAAAAGGACAATGGAGACAAATATCAGCTTCCCTTTATTCTACTCTGCATAGGTAGAAATACATGAAGAAAATAATTGTTAACTAGAGTCATCTAAAATGGTAACATAAAGTTAAAGAAAAGAGAAGTAGAAAAAGTCTAATCATGAAACCAAACATAAATTAATAAAGCATACTGACAAGGTGTAAAACTGAAGATGTTCTGAGCAGAAAATTCTGGGGGAAACCTCACCATTTTTGGCTACTTCTGCTATGATGTTGGCTACTTTGGCTGTGCAGGAAGACTGTGGCGTCAACAGATTTGCAAACAATTGAAGTATTCCATTTCCTTGTATTTTTTCACTTGTTTCTGTGTCTGAAAGAAAGAAAAGGGGGCAGGACTCCCATGAAATTCTGTAATGCAAACATGTAAATGACAAATTATTTAAGAACGTTCCCTATCCATAATAAAAGTTGGTCTCAGATACACTGAAACATTTACAGAAATTGCTCTTACCTTGTTTCAGTCTTCACAATGCACTATAGTACCATTTTGTCTATCTCTAGTCACACTACAGAGGGAGTTTTCTTAATCTGTCAACTACAGAACAACTTAACTTTAGTGTTGGCTTTAACAGTAACTGTAGGGAGAAAGCCTGATTAAGAGGTACTGATGACCACACCTGCTTGGGCCTGGTCACAGCTACCACTGACCACACCCTCTTGAGTATGGTCAGTTACCTAATAAGGGTTTAAGAAGGAGGGAGGTGTGCACTCAGCTCTCTTTCACCTGGCTGAGCTGACTAGGAAGCATTTTCAGGATCCCCCCTGCTCAGGTGCAAACCTGGTCACTGGCTCCCTTTTCGTAGTGAGTATTTTTCCTCATTAAACTACAGTTTATCTACCTATCTCTGACTCCACTTTGTAAACATCTGTAAGTATCAATTTGGAACAGGAATGGTTTTATTTTTTTTTACATCCTTTGTAAATTCTTAGAGCTATACCAATTTAATTTTATGTATTTTTTTATGGTTTCCTATAAAGGTACAGTAACTTGGAAACAGTGATTATGAGTAAAACCTATACCTCATGTAATTTTTTATGTACTGAATGATGGTTAAGATTACATATTCCCCTATGATGACCACATTTTTTAAAAAAGATGTGTTTATTCATAATGTATAGAGTGTTCTGCCTGTATACCAGAAGAGGGTACAAAATCTCATTATAGATAGCTATGAGCCACCATGTGGTTGCTGGAAATTGAACTCAGAACCTCTGGAAGAACAGAGCCATCTCTCTAGGCCCTGATGACCTCATTTTTACTATAACTTATTAGAAACACTATTAATATAAAGAAATAGTAAATAACCTCCATGACATTCAAAACTGGCCTTGGTGATACAGAAGTTCAAGAGCTCCTTACTGCTTTCCCTAAAGTGCCTTAAGACAAAAGCTCCTTCATGTGTCTATTATTGAAATAACCTATTAAACCAAAAGGCAATGGGTTATCTAGATGACAGAAATAAAGAAAATCCCCCAAACATTATATTTGATTATAGGCAATGAGAAGTGATGTGTATTTAATGAGAAAATTATAGGGCTCATTAAAATCTTCAATTAAAATCTGACTGCATAATATGCTTTTCTTGCTGTACGTCTTTGAACACATAAGTAAAAGAAAATACTAAGAATTTCTTATAAGACAGGTAACATGAATAATGGAGTAGGAAACACATTATTACACAAATAATTCAAGAAAGTACACAAAATGTCTTTCTTTATAGTTTATGTTTAACATTAGTGATTTTTTTGTCTTGACACTTTTACATTTACTTCTTTCTATGTGTGTGCCGTGTGCACAGGCATGCTCTTGTATCAGTGAGTTTCTGGAGGTCAGAGGGGAACTTATGGGATGTCAGTGCTCTTTCCTCCACTAGAGTTCCAGGGATCAAGCCTACATCATCAGGCTGGGTAGAAAGCATCTTTGTCCATTGAGCCACCTTGCCAGCCCCTAAATGTTTTTTCAAACTGCAGGTCCAATCTATCAGTGAGCTCTAAAATTTATTTTAAATTGGAAAGAGAAAAAACAATTATTACCTACAACAACAAAAGAATTTAAAATGCACACATTAAGCTAAAATTTTTATTCTTTTATGTTCTGGGTTAAATTAGATATGTGTAAATATGATTGTATGTACACATGGGCATGCGCCCACACAGACACACATACACATTTTGCTTTTGCTATACTGGGACCCAAACCCAGGGTTTCTAACATGTAAAGACTCTACTACTAAGCTACTTCTCCAGTTCCTGTAAAATATTATTTTTAATCAAAGGTTTGGGTCAAAAAATTAGAAACTGCTATTTTGTATGTTCCTTATCTACCCAGGATTCTGAGTTAAAGGATGATAATTCTTCCAGTATATGCTTTCATTTTGCACCTTTAACAAGAATGGATGTTTTAAGGTACTACCAGGAAATCTAACACCTCCAGAACAGTTAGGGCTATGCAGAAAGACAATCAGTGTCAAGAACAGACACATGCAATTTAAGACCATGCCTACACACACACACACACACACACACACAACAACACACAACAACACACACACACAAAAAAAAAAAAAAAAAAAAAAAAAAAAAAACACCTCCACCAAGCCAGAAAGCAGTGAAGTCATTTTACCATGTAACAATGCTTTGTTTTCTGACAACTGCTACAGAGGATCTACAGCTGAAAACACAGGGTCAGACAGTCCCAGGGGCCTAGCCCACCATCTGTTCAAGCTGGGCTGACAGCAGGAATCTGGCATAAGACAGCATCTAACTGGATATGAGGCTCAGGCATGTGTGCATGGAAGCAAATGTTAACTGCACGTTATCCATGCATGGTTCATTTTAACTATAACTTAAAGATTATTTGGTTATCAGAGCTGAGTGTCAGGGCAAGAGAACAACACAACCAAACAGTGCAAGCCTCTCACTATAACACTCCCCACAACCACAATCCAAGTAACCAGCAGAACAGTTGGATGAGAAAGAAGTCAAGAATTTAGAAATAGTATTTATACTATTACATAATAGATAATCTAAGTAATAGATTTCCACATAGGTTTAGAATTTAAACACTTGACTTACAATTTTCTTTTGCCATAAAATATAACTAACAAAATGCACCATGTCACTAAATGTCACTGTCCAATAAACATGTTGTTTCATACGGGGTCTCTCTCTGTCATCTTAACTGGCCTGAAACTAACTATGTAGACCAGGCTAGCTTTGAACTCACAGAGATCTGCCTGCCTCTGCCTCCCAAGTACTGAGATATAAGCTATGTGCCTCCACACCCAATAAAACAGCTTCAACGAAGCCCCTGCCCCGCTGTCAATGCCCTTACCTACATGTCCTTAGGTATCTGTAAGCATCCCTAAAATGGTCTTTAAAGGGCATGAAGAAATGGTTAAAATGGCATTCCTTTCATGAGACCCCTTCCCAGTGGGTGTAAAAGCGCAGAGATGCAAGGAAGCAAGGGGGCAACACTCAAAATACATTATATACTTGTATAAAAAAATCCCCTATGGAACCACGCCTGTCTATGTAGTATGAACACACACACACACACACACACACACACACACACACACACACACACACACACAGACACTCCCCTCTCTCTTTCTCTACA